CCTGATCCATAGAAAGGTTGCTGTGGAGGAAGTGGTGCTCCTGCCATATGATTCCAAACTGAGTTCATCGCAGAAGGTTGTTGTTGTGGAGGATACGCTGTTGCCATTCGATTCCAAGGAAGATTTTGAGTTTGTGGATAACCACCTTGTGCTTTATTAAAAACATTTCCTACAGCAGAATTTGGTTGATTTACTCCAGCTGGTATATTACGTGCAGCAAAGAAATCTTGTACAGCTTCTTGATTTTGTTGTGGTGCTGTTGTTGGCGGATAAGTATTTTCATTTTCTGGTTTCTTTTTCTTGAAGAAACTAGAAAGAAAATTCGGTTTATCTTTAGGTGCGTTTGCTGCTTGATTCCAGACATTAGCAACAGCATTTCGTTCGTCTGGCATCATCGGTGACGATGATCTACTTTGCATGTTTTGCCATTGTGAATTTATATTAGGTACTGAATTTGCTCGATTTAAATTTGGTGATGCACCTGATGCTTTATGCCATACATTATTTAATAGATCATGCACTTGACCAGGACTTTGATTATATTGATTAACTCGAGAGTGATGGCGACGATGATGCGATGAATCTCTATAATAATCATCATCTTCTGAATCTGTAACTTCATGGCAAACCAATTTGCGGCTACGATGTCTAGATGATGGATGCGTATAATTCGCCGATAACGGTCTACCTTGATGAATATAAACCGAATAATTATTCATCGTTTTGATAAGAATATATATTAAACTATTTACTCGTATAATAATTACTATGAGAAGAAGATCGTTGTAATGAGTTAACATCAACACCAAGTTGTTTTAAAAGTACATCGAGTGGTATATTAGCTGTAAGAAACAATATTTGTATTGTCTAATTTTATAGTAAAGAAGAAGATGACAGACCTGGTACTTTATAAACAGTAACATTATTATTCAAATTCGAAAGAGTTTGTAGAGTATCGCCCACAGGAGAATTTAAACCTCGATTAGGTAGGAAATTATTGGAGGATGAGATATTATTCTATTGAACCAAAGAAACTCATTTTTGATAAACAAAAAACAAGAAAATTAATGAATATTTACCTGTGAAAATACATTAGTATTTAGAAATGGGGGAAAAGGCGTTTTATCACCAGAATAAGGAAACTCATAGAATTCTGCACCACGATTCATTTATGTTAAATATTTTTCCGTAATAACAACTAATATTTCGCCCTATCAACAAAGAGAAAAAACGATATAAACACATGTATATAGAAAAAAAGAACCTTGAAAACAAATTTACCACAAATCGACCGTGAAACTTGTCACACGTCAATAATTCATCTTATCGGATACATAATATTTTTAGTTTGATAAATAAAGTCAGTATGTATATTGTTAGATTCGCTCTATTCTAAATAAGGCATACGAAAAAGATTAACCCATGAAATCAATCTCTTATATATCAATCATTTTTCAATGTTAATTCTTCCACAATCAGTTGCGGTTGAATGGTTATTTTCTATAGGGCAATTTTCTTTTTTGTCTTTCGTTTATTACATATATAAATAAATAAATAATACAGAACCAACAAAAACAAAAACAAAATTACAGAACGTAAAATATAATAAATATGACTAATAATAAAACAAAAACCATATTTAGAGATAAAAATAAATAGGAATGTAGATATGTAATATATTATCTTTTTTTGAGATTAATTAAATAGATCATCAAGTTCAGCTGATGCAGTTTTTGAACTTGTTTTATTATTTACTATTGAATTAGATGGTGGTGACTGGAATAAACCCATACTTCCATTTATTATTCCTGAGTTCAAATGAGACATCATCATATTTGCACTCATTGAATTCATTGCTACTGTTGGTAGTATAGTTTGTGGACGAGATGCAAGAGAATTAATATTACTCAGAAGAGTCGATGTTAAGTCAGTCGTATTTAATGCTGGTCGTTGTTGTGAAGGAGATATAGAATTAACAACTGTTGGACGCATAATTGATGGCATTGTTTGAGATGTCGACATACTATATACTGGTTGTGATGGTTTTTGTTCGAAGAAATTACTTGTTAAATCTTTATATATTGCAGAAGATGTACTTGTTGTTGTTGTTGGTACTGTTGCTGAGATCGGTGTCATTGCCATTAATGGAATATTTGTAGATGTAGGTGTTTTACGTTCAGATGTATATTCACCGTCATATTTCATTCGTTGTGTTTGATCATTCTCATGCATCATTCGTTCTTTTTCTTCGAATGTTAATGTCTAATAAATTGAATTGAATCTCTTTGAAATTTAAAGAATAATAATTTCTATTTACCTTTTTTCCTAAAGAATTATCCGATGAAGTTGATTGATTTGATGATGTTTGTTGTGATTTTACATTATCATTCGATTGATTACTATCAAAACTGGCTGCCATAGTTTTATTTTGAACGACTTCGGAATTAAAACCTTGTCCAAGCATAAATTGATCAATCTTTATAAGAACAATTAGAGACACAAAGAAAAAAAATTTCAAAGTCGTACCATAGATGATTTTTGATCAAATTGAATATCAGTTGCTGAAGGACCAATTGGTACAATGGGTGCACTAGAATAATATTCAAATGAAAAATCTATGTATATATTGAATGAATAGAAATTTTTACTTTGCAGCTTGTTGAGAAAGTTGTTCAAGTTTTTTACGTTGTTCAATTTCAACTGTTTGTAACATATCTTTAATTGTTGCCATATAAACATTGAACTATTTAATAATAAATAATATATCTGTTACAAAAAAAAGTAAAAGAATATAGAAATTACTTGATTAAGATTGAGACTTGTTTCAATTGAAATTGGTACTAAAAATGGTATTACTTTTGTCGCAAGTATTTCGCGAGGTAAACCACCGGATTTCGTTGATGACATTGCTACTTTAATAATACCTAATATTGCCATGAGAACAGCTGGTTCACGTGATGGAATTGATTGAAGTAATGGAATAACTTCATCAATAATAATCCATTTATCTAATGATTCAACTAATTTTCCGAGACATATTAAACAATTAACACGAACCTGAAACAAATGAGTAACCGGTAAAATATAAAAATAAGAACAACTAACTTACACTTAATGTTATTGTTTCAAAACAGATCTTTTTTATACGTGGTAATATACAATATTTCATTGCTTGTAAATCAATTAAATGTGCAAATGATGGAATAATTGCTAGACAAAGTTCCTAGAAGAATAGAAAAAAACTTTTCGAGAATCCTTTTCCTATCATATATTAATTCATACTTGAACTTGTGATGATTCAGCATCTAATGCATTATAAACAACAGGTAGAATATGTTGTTTTATATCTTCCGGTGGTGTTTTTGTTAACATTAAATTCATATTACGCATTAGAATAAGAAGTGTCTAGAAAATAAATATAAGATACAAATGGCAAATCAAACCAAAATGTTATACCTGCATAATACAACCTGATGCACCACTTCCCTAAAATGAAAATAATATTTAATTTATCTCGAAATAATCAAAATCTTATTACTGCAGGAGGTTTTTGAATTTTAAAAACTTGTTTAAGTTTCGGAAAAATATATCCTTGATATTCTTCATTACTTGCTTTTTCCTAAAAGTACAAAAAAACAATGAACAATAATTAAGCATAGAAAATATTCAATATACAGCAATAAGAAACATATTTGGAAGAACGAATGGAATCATTTCAGGATTAATAAATTCTAATTCAAGTGCCGATGCAATACGTTGTAAATTAACACGCTTAAAAAATATTTTCATTAGAATATAAAAATAAGTTTCTACTAAATTTTACCATAGGTAATTTATCAATAACTTGTGGAAGGCTTTTATAAAACATAGAACGTTGAATATTATCGACTTGAAATAATGAATCAAGATATTCTAAAGTTTTTGTTCCTACATCTTGAAAAAAAGGTACCTAAAGAAAGGTAATTAAATTTAGTAAAGTCATCTTTTTTTTGTCTTACTTTAGAAAATTGTCCAGCATCGGGTCGTAATTCTGGTTTTGGACTAAGTAACATCTTGACATGATCACGAACTTCAGCTGGTAATATAGATAGTTTCGTTGTATTCATTGCTTTAAGATCATCGGACATTTTTATAAACGTTGAATAATTATCATGACATTCGTATAATGTTTTACCATGATTATATAATGCATATATAATCATACCTAGTGCAAACATATCAGATTGAGTATCATAAGATTTCGTTGTTTGATATTCCGGTGCCATGTAATCAAGTGGTGGATTTATAATTGGAGGAATATTTCCATCATATTCTCGAAATGGATAATTTGTCTAATAAAATGAAAGAATGTTTTGATATATATATAAGATGATTCTTACTCCATCAGCTGAACCTTGAATACATAATTCAAATCCAGATAATTTCCAAGCGCCATTAGAATTAATTATTATAGATTCTGGACAAAGATTACGATGAAATAATTTAACTTCATTATGTAAAAATGTTAAACCTTCACAAAGCTATTCACAAAGAAATAAGATGAATATTTTTTGTATAGATTGAATATCAAACCTGAACAATTCCATAACGAATTTCAACATCAAATAATTTATAATCTTCAAATTCTTTCAACATTGGTTGAGATATATTATCATGAAATCCAAGACAATTAGCAAGACTACCATAACATGATTCTGTTGCAAATGCCAGACTATCTCTAGAATAATTTACAAAACGTTATCTATCGATTCATATATATATATAAACAATAAACCTTGATTCCTCAAGAGGATGTTGAAGACTTAAAACACGTGGATGTTTAATTTTTGCTAATTGATGTACACCTAGACAAAAAGATTTTATTAAAAAAAGACTTTTAATAAAATATAAAAAACCTTTTCTCATTGCATCAAGTATTAAATCACGATCTTTTTTTGCATATTTATCTAATAAACGTTTTTCCAAAACAAATACAGCTGCTTTCTAAAATATAAAAAATTGAAAACACTTTTTCCAAAGTACAGCAATAATTATTTTCTTAGATACACTGCAACAAAAGACATTGAGAACTGTATAGTAATCACACATTCGTTCTCTCATAAAATACTATCATTTCAAATTCTAAGAGTGTCGTATTCATAAAAACCAGTGTTTTATCTAAGTTTTTCCTTTCGAGAGTGCGATAGCGATTTCTGGAAGGGCGAAATCGTTCTTTGGGAAGGCGCCGCCATCTCTGCCCTCTCTCTAGATAAATCCATTCTCGAACCTGTCTAGTTGAACGTTTAATTGCTCCATAAATACGCCAAAGAAGACCGGGTCCAGCAGAACCAAGTGGTCGTATTAACTAAAAATATTAACAAATTCGTTTCATTTGGTTTTTTTGAATAAGAAATCAAATTTTTCATTTTATACTTCATATTCACGTGTCACTAAATTTCCTGGTAAAACATCTTTAAGCATTTTTTGACCACCATGAGCTGTATCAACCATAGATTTAACAACGACATTTTTAACTTGATCACCGTAAACTTTTAATTTTTCAAGATATTCCATGATCAAATTGAATTTGAAGATCAATCAACAACAAGAATCAAGCAGAAGAGGAAAAAAAAGAACAACTTCATCATTATTTTTCTGATTGGATGGGATATAGTGTCATCTATTTCTATAAAAACTATGCATTTCTATTAATTCAAATTTATCAAATGTTTATTGAAATCAATGAATTTTTCTATATGAATATTATTAACAATAAATCAAACTAAATTTTTTAAAATAAGTTGATTATTTCATTGGTTATTAATATACTATACTCGACTCGTTTCTCGAATCTCGTCATCGATTATTTATTTGCTTGTTTATTGTATCACCTTATTCAGTTATTCAATCAATTATAAATGCAGAGAAGAGAAAAAAAATAATAATTATAACGCGATCGTTAGGTTCTTTTCTATTAATTAAAAATTATTTTTTCTCTACATGGTCGCTGAAAGACGTGTTTTCTTTTTCTTATTTAATTTAATTTATATTAGAAAATATTTCAATATATATATATATATGTACTTATAATTTATATTTTTTCTTTCTAGTCATGATTAATTCATTGTAGTTAAAAGAATACAATCAATAATCATGATTAACGAACGTAGTTCTGCACAGTCTAATACACCAACATCAACTAACATGCAATATGGATATCCAACAGGTAAGAATACATGACATAGGTCATCATGTCGGCTTGTGTTACGTCACATTCGAAAGAGAGGAGAAAAAAAAGAAAGCAATATATTTTTTTTTATTCGATCACTCATATTAAATTAAATATCAAATGTATGTTGTAGGTCCTTTCGATCTTATGAATATCCCACCAATACAAAATCCAAGTGATCTTTATTCATATTATCCTCCAAGTCTTTATCAACCATTTGGTACATTTGATGAACATAATCAATGGGGACAAACAGACACATCAGCTGGTGTACCACAACCAGGTCCATTACAATTTCATCCATCAATTTATACACCATCAGGACTTGATATTCCACGTAGTCCATTTGATTATCCACCACCACATGCATATCCTCATTATCATCCAGGTTTTACACCTTC